TAGGAGGGCTTGGCTGTCTCTGTGGTAGGGCATGCAGCCTGGGCTTTCTGAGGGCAGGGGGTCCACACACTCCCCTATGGTGGAGGCAGTCCAGCTGCCCTCAACCTGGTGCTGTTCATCCTGCGTCCTGTCCGGGTGGATGACTGCCTCTGAGCCAGGACCACAGCCTCATCTTCTGCCCTGAGCGCATGCTGGAACGCAGTGAACAGCAAACATGGGGTGGGGGGCCCAGGCCCGGCTGACGCACCTAGTCCAATGATGCCCAAGGTCTCCCCGCGGATCCTGGCAGCTCCGGAAGCCACTTCCCGGATCTGCTCGACGCTCTGGACCCGCGTGCCTTCCCGCAGTGCCTGGTGGAGCCACGTGGTCCGTCGGTACAGGTTCAGGATGTGGCACAGGGTCGAGTCTGCCGTCTCTTCCACTGACGCCGCTGGCACATTGCAGACAGCAATGCCTGTGGGGACATAAGGGACACATGTGTGGGCAACCACCATGCCTCCCAGGACACGCACTGTGGAGCCAGCTGTGTGGGTCACCAGATACAGGGTATTCGGAGGCCAAGCCTTACATACATGAAGCCAAGTAAATGCCGCAGGTCAGACCTGGGGGTGCTAACAAGTCAACATGCGCTGAACTGCTCACAAGCCACTGAGAGGGGACACCACTGAGGCCACCCAAGCCTCCAACCCCCACACACACACTGTACAGGGCAGGAGGCCCAACTGGCCCACCATTAGCCAGCATTCCTTCTCTACCCATTCTTGTCCCTTGGCACCAGGGCAAGGTTCGCCTTCTGCTCTGAGGCCACTGCACCTGCACATATTGCCAGTGTCCTTCAAGATGCACTTTGCTGCTTCTGCACATGGTCACAGCACCTCAGAAGCCCTGCATCTGAGCAGCACCCCAGCACACATACACACACATGCAGTAACCCACTCCAGGAGCTGACAAGGGCAAAAAAGGGGCAACAGGAAGAGGGGGCCCACCCTGCTGTACACCCCGCCTCCCCAACATCCTCCAGAGACCCTGGGTGTGCCAACGTGGTCAGCTCCTGAGTCCGTGCCAGTGCTGACTTTCCTGCTCAGACCACCTGCCTCTCAACACTTCCCAAGAGCCTCAGCAGGGGCAAGGGCAGGGAGAGTCTGGCCAGTCCCGGCCAGGTCAGAATTTGAGGTCCATGTGGCCCTGCTTGGTCACGGGGAGCCAGCGGCCACCCCCCGTAGACGGAAGGACACCATTACTGCAGTCATGGTCTATACCATGTGGCTCTGAGTTACAGCTGTCTTACCTGCTGGCCTGTAGTTTAAACCTGGGGATGCTACCAGCCTCAGAGGTACCTGCTAGAGTTAGCTCACTGCCCCTCCCTCACCATCTGCGGCTGTGCCCAGTGTGGCTTGCTGCCCGCCCCTCCCTCACCCTCCCTGGCCTCTGCAGCTGTGCCCAGTGTGGCTAGCTGCCCACCCCTCCCTCTGCCCTCCGTGGCTGTGCCCAGTGTGGCTCCCTGCCCGCCCCTCCCTCTGCCCTCTGTGGCTGTGCCCAGTGTGGCTCCCTGCCCGCCCCTCCCTCTGCCCTCCGTGGCTGTGCCCAGTGTGGCTCCCTGCCCTCTGCGGCTGTGCCCAGTGTGGCTTGCTGCCCGTCCTTCCCTCACCCTCCCTGCCCTCCGCAGCTGTGCCCAGTGTGGCTAGCTGCCCTCACCTCCCTCTGCCCTCCGTGGCTGTGCCCAGTGTGGCTCCCTGCCTGCCCCTCCCTCGCCCTCCCTGCCTTCTGCAGCTGTGCCCAGTGTGGCTCCCTGCCCGCCTCTCCCTCTGCCCTCTGTGGCTGTGCCCAGTGCGGCTCCCTGCCCTCCGCGGCTGTGCCCAGTGTGGCTCACTGCCTGCTCCCCCTCGCCCTCCCTGCTGTCCCATGCCCAGTGTGGCTCCCTGCCCGCCCCTCCCTCTGCCCTCCGCGGCTGTGCCCAGTGTGGCTCACTGCCCACTCCCCCTCACCCTCCCTGCCGACGCATGCCCAGTGTGGCTCCTTGCCCTCTGCAGCTGTGCCCAGTGTGGCTCCCTGCCCTCCGTGGCTGTGCCCAGTGTGGCTCCCTGCCCCCTGCGGCTGTGCCCAGTGTGGCTGCAGAACCTGCTGTGTTTCTCCTCCATCTCAAGCCATGAGACCCCATCCTACCTGGAGCAGCCGCCCTGTGTGTGCTGTGCGTGCACCCTGCTCGTGCCACTGGGCCCCTCCCTGCTCTGGGAAGCCCAGGCTGTTTGTTCTCCCCAGAACTTCTCACCCTCAAACAGTCTGGACAATTTCACTCAGGCTTCTTGTCAGCTGTCCCCTCCGAGAGGGGCTGCGTGGACAGGGTCAACGTGGGTGGGGATGGAGTCTGACATAGGGGGCCATGGGATCTGACACTGGGGCAGAGGATGGGGCATTGTAGGTAGGGGGGTCTGACACGGGTAGGGGGACAGAGGCCACACAAGAGCACCAAGGCCTAGATCCTACCGAAAAAAAAAAACAAACTCATAGCGACCCGTCCTTGGGTTTCCGAGGCAGTTATCACTACGGAAGCAGATTGCTCAACCT